TTCACCTCACTGTAATATGATTGGCTGGTGTCAGACATAAATACAGACTGATGTGGAGCTACATGGACTACGCCTATTGCCTACGCCTATTGCCTACCACTACGACGAGGACCAGTCCATTACGGTTACCTGCTAGATTGTCCTACCCGGTTACAGTAGTCAACAACCACTTTGATACTTCGAACAAATATATCCATTTCCGGGACATATCAGATATTAAAGAAAAGGTAGTTGTGGTGAGCCATTTACAGCCACATTCCGAAGCGACGTGCCACTTAATAGCGAGATGGTATTGAAGTTGAAACCATTCTATGTCTCTTCTGAGTCGTGTTCCATTTGAATTTTCATTACCGTCATTATTACCCCCTTCTTCCTAAATTGTTTAACTTGTGTACTTGTAAAATATGCAATATTTAAGAAAAATCGATGCATCAATCAGTCTTTTCTTGTTTTGAATACGAAATGTCACTCAGACAGGATTGTGAAACAGATTTGTTATTTCTCGGTAATATTTGAATAAATATTGTTTTTGTTCTTATGTTTCGGTCAATTATTATTTTGGTCTTCCTTGTATTGTATGTAGTTCTCATTTGAATTAGCGTCATCTTTCTGTAATTATTATGACAAATAACCTCATCATTGTAGCTTCAGCCGCTTTATTTTGACTGGCGCCTTCTTCAGCCTTCTATGATCGGGTCTGAAGTTCTACGACAAGACATTTTTATGAATTCAATCAATTATTTTCTTAGTAATTATATTCGTTGTTGGTAAACTGTCCATGATTCATCGATATGTTTTTAATTTCCTAAATTTACTTAATGTCATTTACTATATCACCCAAAGAAATGTTGAATAGCACAAACTAACACCTTGCCAGCATCACCATAGAGGGCGAAACACTGGAGGTAGTGTCCAGCTTCAAATATTTTGAAGCGACTCTGTTAAAGGATGGCACTTGCAACGCAGAAAACAAACCACGGATCGCTACTGCCATAGCGATGGCCAAACTCGAAAGAATATGGAAGTGCAAGTTTTTTTTAACATTCCTTTTTACATTATTTATATTCGGACTATTGTCCTCAACTTTATTGTTGTTATCACAACGTGTCTGCCCTTGTGTTCTACGAGCTTCCTCAGGTTTGTTTCGACCTGAGTAGTCTCCAGGGAATTCTAAATTGAACCCTTGTGTGTCTGTTTAAAGGAAAAAGTCCAGGACATCCACGAGTTTCGGAGGAATAAATGGCGAGAATTCGTGTTGCGTTTGAGGAGAGTCCATGGAAGTCCACAAATCGAACTAGCCCCGAGCCTACGATCTCTCAATCTGGCGGATGCTAAGAAAACGTCTACATTTGAAACCTTACAGACTAGGCCTCATTCAGACACTTACCAGGACTTTGCTCTTTGTACTTGGCCTGCGAGACCCCCAGACCTCACCGTGTGTAATTTTTTTCTTGTGGGGATACGTAAAAGACTGCATTTACGTTCCACCGCTACCCACTAACCTCGATGACCCGAGATATCGAATAACAACAGCAATCAGCTCAGTGGATTCTTTTCTTGCATTGATGTTACCCGTGCTTCAGGTGGTGGCCACGTTGAAGACTTGTAATTGTGTGTAATGAATTCGGATCATTCTTTTCTTTAAACAACCCTGTATATTCTGAGACGAAAGAGTGGGCTGTCCTTTTGTAGCCTCAAGTGACAGATCATTAATAAAACATTTATTAAACTAGTTTTAGCCTGACACGTTCCAGGGTTTGAATTTCTGAGATGTAGTGAATAAGATGACATGTTTTACGAGATTCTTTTCACAAGTAGAAATTCCATTGTCGAGTGCCAGGAGTTTTTATTCAAAGATTCGTATATTCATCTTATTTATTTTTTATGAGTATTTCTTTGCTTTTGTGTGTGTGTGTGTTGTTGTTGATGTTGTTGTTGTGTACATGATAGGCGTGGAAAATAAGGGATTGTTCCTGACGGGAAACGGAGACGATAAATGTCGTCACGGATTCCTTTGCAAAATGCCTCCTGGGGCTGTGGATTGTCTCTGCATTTGATCGACTCAGGAAAGTCGCGGGTTAATCACAATGAACGATTGTCGGTCGACAGAAGCCGCAAACCGGTGTGTTTTTCTTCTTTTCAATCCCAGGATTTTGATTGTCAGGCCACAGACAGGTTGTTTGCAGAAGAACACAGGCTTTTGTTGGTAGATTCCATAGATTCGGTTAGCATTTTGGTCACTTATCGCCAGGAAAAGGTAGTACCTATCTGTTCACATACACACACACACATAGCAGACCCACACACATACACATATATATGTGTGTGTGTATATATATATATATATATATATATATATATATGTATGTATGTATATACACGGTGTATATTTATATATCTATTGATACTTTGTTAATAGCATAAACAAATATGCATACGCACACACATAAACAGGCAGCCACTATTAAGCGTTGATACTTATGTCCACACTGTTTATCATTTTATACGCGTTTTTCTGCTATTGATCACTATCCCCAATAAATATAACATACATTATATTAAAACTGCAGTTACACACACACACACACACACATATATATATACATACATACATATATATATATATATAGCAAGAGAGAAAGAAAAGCTCTGATATATATATATATATATATATATATATATATATATATATATATATATATATATATATATATATATAAGAGCAAAGAGAGAAGAGAAGTGGACTTTTATATATATATATATATATATATATATATATATATATATATATGAGATAGCGTGCCATTTTTTTATATATCAAGAACAGTATTGCGGAAATTGTGAGAGAAAATGAAAAAAGTGTATTTGTGACGCGTTTCATCCGTTAGGACTTCATCAGAATGGGTTTGTTGACATTGTTGTGACCACACCTGCGCATGAACGAGAGACACTGGTAGTTTCAAATTTTTTAAAATAATTTTTTGAAATAATTTTTTCAATCTAGCCAAATTCATCGATATTTTCTTTCTCGAAATTTTCATCTTAGTGAATTAGTTTTAATTAGAGCAGTATTTTTATGTCAATAGTGTGGTCAGTTTCGTTACGGTGAACAATCAATGCGTTTTGTGTGTTGTTTTTCCCTTCTTTGTTCATATAAACTTTTGTTTAAAGTTCTTGATGTTTCTCCAATATATTCTTTCTGGCAATCCTGGCAGTTGTCTTTAATTTGTGGCTTGTTTTTTTGTTTTTTTTTTATTAAGTCTTTTATTATTTTCGATGTAGTTGTGACAAATATTATGTTGAGTTTAGATAAATTCTTTTCGTTTGCATTTTCATATTCAATGCGAAACAAAAAGTTCATAAAATATTCCAAAATAGAAGAGCCGTCCTTCCTGACAAACCCAACAATTCAAAAAAAAAAAAAAAATTTACCCACTCTGTCACAACTGAAAAGAATTTAAACTGAACATATTAAAATATGTACATCACTTCGTCGGATCCAAGTCTAAAATAAGAATGGCTGAATTGATGATCAAATTCCCTTCCCTCGTGTGATGAAGAGCGAGACAAGTTTATTGACCATTAGCCTATAGTAAATACCGTGCCGTCTGGGCGAAAATCTCGAAAGAGATGAGTAGTGATTAAAAAACACAAACAAATTATGTTTGAACAACGAGCTTTGGCATCTGTGTGATATGCGCCATTTTGAACTGCATATACGAAAGTATATATGGCCCACGTACAAAGCAATAGTAAAACATCAGATGCCATTTTGGGGACCCTACTTGGTTGGACTGAGATCTTTTCAGCTTTAAAGTGATCAGCTGAAAACTGGGCATCGAATTCTTCTTTATTGTCATGTGATATTCTCTACTTTTATGTCTTCTCAGTTACCTCTTTCTTTTTTCTTTTCTTTTTTCTTTCTTTTCTTTTTTCTTTCTTTCTTTTTCTTTCTTTCTTTTCTTTTTTCTTTCTTCTTTTCTTTTTTCTTTATTTTTCTTTCTTTCTTTCTTTCTTTTCTTTTTTCTTTCTTTTTCTTTCCTTTTTCTTTCTTTCTTTTTTTTCTTTCTTTTTAAATTTTAAACTTTAAATTTTTAAAGAATTTTAAAAAAGAAAGAAACTTTCTTTTTTAAAATTCTTTCTTTAGCTTCTTTTTGTAACTTTCCTTCTTTCTTAGTTTCTTTTTAGCTTTCTCTTTCTTCTTTTTCTTTCTTTTTCTTTTTTCTTTCTTTTTCTTTTCTTTCTTTTTTCTTTCTTTAAATTCTTTCTTTAGCTTCTTTTTGTAACTTTCCTTCTTAGTTTCTATTCAACTTTTTCGTTTTTTCTTTCTTTTTATTTTTCTTTCTTTTTCTTTTATGTTTCTTTCTTTTTCTTTTGTTTTTCTTTCTTTTTGTAAATTTCTTTCTTTCTTTCTTTCTTTCTTAGTTTTTGGTACATATCTTTCATTCTTTCTTTCTCTACTTTTTGCAACATTTATTTTTTGGTTTTGATTTTTTTTCGTTCTATGTTTCTTTTTCCTTTTTCTTCTTCGCTTTTTTTTGTAACTTCCTTTCTTTCTTACTTTTCCCATCTCTTTCTTTCTTTCTTTCTTTCTTGTTTTTTCTTCCTTTGTCTTTTGATTCTTCTTACTTTAATTTCACTTCCTCTTTTATAATTAGGGATTTCTCCTTTTCCAATTATCGTCTGCTTTTTGCCTTATCGTTTACTTGATTCCATTGTTCTTTTGTTAGTCACCTTCTCTTTTTTCTTTCTTGTCTCGAAATACGAAGCGTTGAAATAGGAGAGCACATATTCAGAATAGGAGAAGAGTAAGGAAATAATCATAAAATAACATCGCTTACATTGGAAAATAATCATCTTCACACAGATTTTCGGCTTCTCCCACCGCCATATCAGCTTTAAAAATGTACAGACATTACCAGTTTATTTGCAACATGCTTTACACATTCAGCTGATGACCGATTAAATTTTTTTAGCATAACGGCATAGGGAGACACAGATTAAAATGCTGAGATAAAAAGAGACGGCAAAAGAAAGAAGAAGAAAAAAGGTCGAAAGAAAGAAAGAAAGAAAGAAAGAAAAAAGAAAGAAAGAAAGAAAAAGAAAGAACAAGCCGGCAAAAGAGGGAGACGAATGAATAAATAAATAAAGAAAAAAAGAAAGAAAGAAATAACAAGACGGCGGGGTGGGGCGAAAAAAAAAGCAGAAAGACAGACAGAAAGAAAGAAAGAACAAGACGGTAAGGGGGGTGCGAAAAATGCCGTAAGAAAGAAAGAAAGAAAGAAAGAAAGAAAGAAAGAAAGAAAGAAAGAAAGAAAGAAAGAAAGGACAAGACGGCAATAGGGGCGGTGACGAAAAAAAAAGCAGAAAGACAGACGGAAAGAAAGAAAGAAAGAACAAGACGGTAAGGGGGGCGAAAAATGCCGTAAGAAAGAAAGAAAGAAAGAAAGAAAGAAAGAAAGAAAGAAAGAAAGAAAGAAAGTAAGAAAGAAAGTAAGAAAGAAAGAAAGTAAGAAAGAAAGAAAGGACAAGACGGCAATAGGGGCGGTGACGAAAAAAAAGCAGAAAGACAGACGGAAAGAAAGAAAGAAAGAACAAGACGGTAAAGGGGGGCGGGAAATGTCATAAGAAAGAAAGAAAGAAAGAATGAAAGGACAAGACGGCAATAGGGGCGGTGACGAAAAAAGGTCGAAAGAAAGAAGGAAAGAACGAACGAGATCGCAAAAGTGGGAGACAAAGAAAGAAAGAAAGAAAGAAAGAAAGAAAGAAAGAACCAGACGGCAAAAATGATACACGAAAAAAGATCGTAAGAAAGAAAGAAAGAAAGAAAGAGGAAGAAGGAAAATTATAGAAAAGCTAATGAATATAATTTATCAACAAATGAAATAACAAAAATATATTGAGAAGATTTCTAAATAAAAATGCCACAATTTTTTTAAAAACTAAAAGAAGCAAAAGTGAGAAATATCGAAAGAAAGTATGGAATACAGAAAGACTCTCAGCGGAATGGAAAGAAACTGAAAGAAAAAGCGGAAACGTCATAAAATGAAGCCACGGTTAAAAATGAACCAGAAAGAAAATGAAGTTATGACGAAAGAAAACATAAAAAAAAATTTGTTCTCATGTCGATTAAATTTCGCAATTTCTTACTCTCTCTATGTCTGTCTGTCGCTTTTTTTTTCTACGTCTTTCATTCTATGTCTCTCTTTCTGTTTTTCTTTCTTTCTTACTTCGCACGTTTTCTGACATTATCGATCTCTCTCTTTCTTTTAACTTTCTCTCGCTTACCATTTCTATTTTTCTCTTTCTTTTTCTTTCTCAGTGTTTCTGTCTTTCTTTGGTTCTTTCTTTCTTTCTTTCTTTCTTTCTTTTATTCATTCTTTCTTTCTTTCTTTTATTCATTCTTTCTGTTGTTCATTCCGTCTTTCCTTCTTGTTTTTTCCTTCTTTCTTTCTTTCTTTCTTTCTTTCGTTCATTCTTTTTTCTATTGTTCTTTCTTTCATTCTTTTGTTCATTTATTCATTCTTTCTTTCTTTTGTCCATTCTTTCTTTCTTTCTTTCTTTCTTTCTTTCTTTCTTTCTATTATTCAGTTTTCGTTTATTCATTCATTCTTTCTTTCTTTTTTCTTCCTCTTTTTCTTTTATTCATTCTTTCTTCCTTTTGTTCATTCTTTCTCTCTTTCTTTTCTTCTTTCTTTCTTTCTCTCATTTACTCATTCATTCTTTCTTTCTTTTAACCTGCTTTCTACTTCTTTGTCACCTTTATTCTTTGTCTTCAATCTCTTTATTTTTCTTCACATTGTTTTTCTTTTTATCTCTTTCTCTCTACCCTTAACACCTTTCCTCATCTCTCTTTCTCTTCATCCTTTTCCCCTCCTTTCTCCTGTAGTCATTTTCCCGCGACTTCTGATCTCGTCTCGTTGTCGTTTGAATCGAAACTTATTCAAAGTCCACTTGTTCTGTCAGTTTCTTAAGAATAGGCCCTTTTGTCACAAGGCATCATGGGAAAAGTTTTCGTGTGTTTCATTAGACAAATAGTGTCATGCTCCGTCTTGTTTTTATTCGCTTTCTCTTCGTTTACTTTCTCCATTTTGAGAGTCATTTCGATGGCCACTGTAAACCTCGCCTATCGCTTTGACGATGGCATCTGGAAGAGTCAGCCTCTCTTTCCATTGATGGCGATCTGGTCTGCTCTTTCTGTCGACGCACCCCATCAAACCATTGCACAAGCGACAATTTTATCTCTGTGTTTACAAATGGTTCTGTCCACTTGTTCTAGATTCCCGACTGTTGCTATACAATTTGAGAACATTTAAAAAAAAAACGCAAGAAGGAAAGCTTTTTGATCGTGGGACATTGCTTTCAAGAAAATAATCGTGGGAATTGGTTTTAAAGTTACACTTACCTGCCGAACAGTGTCCTCTTCTTTGCCTTTCTTATTTTCATTTCACCTTCAACTCATTCATCATTTCCTGCTCTTTTTTCTTTGTTTTCTTTTTTCTTTTCGTTAACCTTCGCCTATTGGGTGCGGGTGGCGTAATGGATCCCGACTCAGGATGAGTAAAAACGAAGAACCGAGTTCTATATTCCAGTCAGGTTCGCTATATTCACTTATGCGTAAATGTTCTTGGGAACGTCATGATTCCCTCCCCAGCCATGGGCTAAACTATCCTTGGGAAAATTATGAATTCCTACCTATGAGGTATGGCTTAAACATTAAACATTTGTCTGGAAAAAAACGTTTTTACTCTCAAAATTTATTAATACAATATTCACCTGCAAAAACAATTTTTACAGTATGAAAAGTACGTCTCGGCTTTAAATAACCCACGAAGGGTTGATAAACCGTAAAAATTAAATCCATCAGTCTTCTCCTCCTCTCCCACATCAACTTCTTCTTTTCCCTCCTCCTAATCCTCCTCTTTCCGTATTTCTTCATCCAGCCCCATTAATTTCTGATAAAGGATTCTTAACCTGTATTTAACAATTAAACAAAATATTTTAATGCTTTCTTTCTTTCTTTCTTTCTTTCTTTCTTTCTTTCTTTCTCAGTTTGTTCTTTATCTATCTATCTATCTATCTATCTATCTATCTATCTATCTATCTATCTATCTATGTCAGTTTGTTACTATCTATTCATTCATCTATCTATCTATCTATCTATCTATCTATCTATCTATCTATGTCAGTTTGTTCTTTTATCTATATCTATTCATCTATCTATCTATCTATCTATCTATCTATCTATCTATGTCAGTTTGTTCTTTTATCTATCTATCTATCTATCTATCTATCTATCTATCTATCTATCTATGTCTATCTTTGTCAGTTTATCTATTTATCTATCTATCTATCTATCTATCTATCTATCTATCTATCTATCTATCTATCCACTTCCAGTTCAGAATTAAGCACAAATAATAAAATAAATTACAATGAAAAGTATTCATTTTTTTAATTGATGCGTTATTTGAAAATGTTAAATTGTGACCTTTGTCAGCTGAAAAGCATCGCAAGCAAGTGCCAGATAATGTACGGGTTGCAATAAAAAAAATCTTGCAAAATTAAAATATATATCAAATCATATTTTTAAAACGGTTAGATTTCTCTCTCATTTTAATATATATATATATATATATATATATATATATATATATATATATATATATATATATATATATATATATATATATATATATATATATATATATATATATATATATCTGTGTGTGTTAGCAAACGCCAAATTACTGTATATAAAACACACATCTTTGTGTAATTTGGACTTTGCTAATCGTAAAGTTCTCTGTGGCTGAATAGTTAACATAACGTCAGGTTTTATATATATATATATATATATATATATATATATATATATATGTGTGTGTGTGTGTGTGTGTCTGTGGCCTGAAGATTGGCGCCATTTTATATTTTTAATTTTGCGCGTGCGCGCTGTTTGTTTTTGATTTTGTCGACTGCACAGTATAGAAAGGTCAGTTGGGTAAAAGTTGAGAAGAGCACCATAACGCAATTTGCTCCACCGGGTATTTGGTAACAGCATGCTGTACTGCTTGGCATTCGCGCCGGAAGCTCCAATAGTATTTGGGTGTCAATCTGAGGAAAGAGTTGGATGAATCTAATGGTTATTATTATGGTGTTTGGAGTGATCAGTAGAGATTCATCTCCCCACAGGGCCTCCAACCCAGCACGAAGGCCTAAATGAAGTGACTTTGAGGAGGTAGTGCTGCCCTGGGTGGAGAAGGTGGCTGCTGGAAGACCCTGTGTCTGAAAACAGGACTCTACACCAAGCAGGAGAACCTACTTCACGTCTATCAAACAATTTCTGCGACCACAACATTCCTTACATCTGCCCACCTAACTCCCTAGCCTGCACCCCTCAGCCTTGATTATTATGGGAGGGGGGCGCAGTTGAGCAAGAGACCAACATGACAAGTATGACAAGGTGTTTACCTTGTCATACCAAAGATTGAACTTAAGGCAAGGACTATGGCAGCATTCGCCAACTTGAACTAGGATACCGCCCAGAAGAGTTGTAGGAGGCCGTGGTTGAAGCCAATGGCGATTTTATTGAATCAATTTACTCTTTAGCATTTCAAGATATTTTTGTGTACTTTTCATAAATATATATGTTAAAATGAGATGTCAATATTATTTTAAAATTTTGCGTCATGTAGACGAGAATTTATCCATCTCACCCTGTGTGTGTCTATGTGTGTGTGTCTGTCTGTGTGTCTGTCTGTGTGTGTCTCTGTGCGTCTGTGTGTAAGTGTGTGTCTGTGTGTGTCTGTGTGTGTGTGATGTAAGAACCTATCTGTAGGCTTTCCAGTGGCACAAATGAACTCATAAGAAAACCTCACTTCGCAGGCACAATCTTTGAAATTAAAACAACAAAATTGATTTTAAAATTTTTAAAAATTCCTGGAATTTTCTCCCTTTCTTGGAAGTTCGAATGTTTTTAAAGGCAAATCAACACTTTCCTGAACGTGTGACTGTTGTAAGTCGATATATAATATTTTGATCTCAATTCGTTTCAAATGATTCAGCAAATATTTGTTCACGTTGAAGAACAAACAGAAACTGAACTTCATGCCACTGACGTCATCAGAGCATCAAAGAGAAAAGACGTTGTCGCCTGATGTCACACAGCCCCGCCCGTTTCGAAAATCAATAATAAAAAAAAAACCTTGTCTTTCGCTTCATGGTTTGTCAAAGGCCGCAGGGTGAGTAAATCCCGGTAATAATGATTTTACTCAAACACACACGTGATCACTTTTTAATAAATAATTTTCACGCTTCCTGATCACAATTAGCGGTCATGCACATTAAAAGGTCAAGTGCATTTGCTTGCAGATCCGGACATTTCATATTGAATGTCTCCTTTAATTTCAAGTCGACTAAGAAACGGTCGAAATTTCATTCTGATAAAGTAATTGCTTCTCCCTATACTATCGTCAGCCATGTTTTTTTTCTGTTTTATATTTAGAAAAGTACAACTAAAATTTGAATATTTGACAAAGTTTAACAAACATACCTGAAAAAAATAAAACAAAACAAAAAAATAAGTTTTACCAGGAAGATTGTTTTTCTCTAGATCCGCCATTATTTTATTTTCTCTCTGCAAATTTTTATTTTCATCCTGAGTTAGACGATAAACTACATCCAACAACATTACATTTTGGAAAAAATTATTACTATCAATACATTTTTGAAGGAAAACGTAATACCAGCAATACATTTTTGAAGATGAAAAATATTGCCAGCAATAAAAATTCTTGTCATTAACGTGTTGATATGCCGTAAAAAAAAAAAAACCAAACCAAACCAAACTAATTTTTATTATTTTCAAAAGTTATTTTTAGAATATTAATAAACGCCAAACATGAAACTGGGTTTAATCATAATTTTTTTTTTCTCGAGAACTGAAAGCAAAATCATTAAACACCATCTGAGATTTTCAAATGAGTAACTGATGTTTTGGAAATTTCCTTTTTTTCAAAACATCATTTTTCTCCAAAAATATT